CTTTAGTCCATACAAGCTCTTCTTCAATTTGCAAACCATATGCTCCTTCCCTTGTTCTTCAAAACCTTCTGGCTCATCCATATAAATTTCCTCATGCAAGTCACCATGAAGAAATGCAGTTTTCACATCTAATTGCTCAAGCTCAAGATTCATGCTTGCTGCTAGACCAAGCACAACGCGAATCGAGCTCATCTTTACCACTGGGGAAAATATTTCATCAAAATCAATCCCTTTTTTCTGACTGAAGCCCTTTACCACCAATTGAGCCTTATATCTGACTATCTTGTCACCATCTTTCTTGAGCTTGAATACCCACTTGTTTTTCAGGGTTTTTCTTCCTTTGGGAAGTTCCACAAGCTCATAAGTATTGTTCTTGTGCAGGGAGTTCATTTCTTCTCGCATGGCTTTCATCCAGCAGTCTTTGTCTTGGTGAGACTGTACCTCCTGGAAGTTCTCCGGTTCCTCCTCTTCAATGATCAAGATGTAATCAGAACTTGGGTATCTTGCAGATGGTTTGTGCTCTCTGGTGGACCTTCTCAACTGAGGTTCTTCCTTCTGTGGCAAGGGTTGCTCCCCCTGCTCATCATTTCCCCCATCTATACTTGCTTCATCTTCTTCAATTGTTGGCTCCTCTGTCTCATCTTCTGGTGCTTGCACCTCTTCTCCATCTGTAATTTTTCTTGAAGGAGTTTTTGCCGGTGTTAAATCTTCTGCACCCTCTCCAGAGCTTCCTGTAGCTTTGTCCTCCTTCAAATCATTAATTTTCTCGTGTTCATGAAACACGGCATCTCTACTTCTGACAGTTTTCTTCTTTTCTAGGTCCCATAGTCTGTAGCCAAACTCCTCATGACCATATCCAACAAAAATGCATGGAATGGCTTTATCATCCAGCTTTGATCTATGTTCCTTTGGCACATGCATAAATGCTTTGCACCCGAACACTCTCAAGTGAGAGTATCCAACGTCCTTTTCCGTCCAAGCTTTCTCTGGGATTTGAAAGTTCAAAGGAATTGAAGGTGACCGGTTGATCAGATACACTGCTGTGTTGACTGCCTCACCCCAGAATGGCTTAGGTAGAGTTGCCATTTTTAGCATGCATCAAACTTTCTCCACAATGGTACAGTTCATCCGTTCTACAACACCGTTGTGTTGTGGTGTGCCAGGAACTGTCTTCTCATGCCTCATGCCATGCTTGGAACAGTAGTCTCTGAATTCTTTGGAGGTGTACTCCCCTCCATTATCTGTACGGAGACATTTCAACTTCAACCTTGTCTCCCTTTCCACCATATCATGGTAATGCTGGAATTACTTGAAAACTTGGCTTTTATTCTGCAACAAGTATACCCAAGTCTTCCGAGTTGCATCATCAATAAAGGTAACAAAATATTTATTACCACCAAACGACTCTACCTCCAAGGGACCACAAACGTTAGAGTAGACCAAGTCTAGCTTGTTCTTCTTCCGAGTCAAATTCTTCTGAAAAAAAACTCGGTGTTGCTTTCCAAATAGGCAAACATCACAAGGATTCACATATTCACCTTTGGCCATGGGAATAAGGGACTGCTTAGCCAAAAGTTGCAATCCTTTTTCACTCATGTGAGCTAATCTATTATGCCATAAATTTGGAGAAGCCTCATCTTCAACTTTGTTCAGTTGACCTCCACACATTTTCATGTGTGTCTTGTATAATGAGCAACATGCTTTCCCTTTTGCCACCACCATTGATCCTTTGGTGAGTTTCCAGTTGCCATTCCCGAAGTAGTGTGCGTATCCTTCTTCATCCAGTGCTTTTGCAGACAATAGGTTCATACGCATATCAGGAACATGTCGCACATTTTTTAGTGTCAATGTGTAGTGTCAATGTGCACCCAACATTTGTCTGGACACAGATATCACCAACTCCCATAATATGAGAAACACTCTTGTTTCCCATTTTTATGGTGCCAAAGTCTCCTGCTTTGTATGTTGAAAAATATTCCCTTTTGGGAACACAAGGATAAGAGGCACCAGAATCAATTATCCACTCAGCATCCGAGTTTTCTACATGGCAGCACTCCCCACGATTACATAGTAGAGTCACGTCACTGCCACTGGTAGATGCTACAACGGTTGTATTGCTATCTTCAACCTTTTTCTTGTCTTTTCCTTTCAACAAGTAGCAATTCCTTTTCATGTGGCCTAACTGGCCACAATGATAGCATTTCACTCCACTTTTGGACTTTGATTTGGATTTGCCTCCTCGTCCTCTGGGTTTTCTGGTTTTACTCCTGCCTCTATTCTTCGTGACAAGAGCTTGAGTATCTGGTTGCGAGAAGACTCCAAGTGCCCGCATTCTTTTTTCCTTTTCAAAGATCCTGTTTTTGGCAATTTCCAGTGTGACTTGACCACCAGGAGATGAGTTGATTGTTGTTGATCTAAAACTCTCCCATGATTCCGACAAGGTGTTGAGAAGAATCAGACCATTAACTTCATCATCAAAGTTTATGCCCAAATTAGCTAACTCCTTGATGATGCCAAGGAAATCATTAACATGGTTTGCTGTGGGAGTGCCATCTTTGTACCTTGAGTACATTAATTTCTTTATATGGCACAATTTATTCTGCCCAGTCTTCGCCCGGAAAAGCTGATCTAACTTTGTCCATAGTGTGCGTGCATCAGTTTCATCATTGATATGATTCAGCACACTATCATCAATCCATTGCCGAATAAATCCACACACTTGCCTATGGAGTAGCCTCCATTCTTCATTCTTCATGCTGTCTGGCTTTTGCTCTGAAAAGACAGGCTCATGAAATTCTTTCACATAAAGAAGGTCTTCCATTTTCCCCTTCCACAGCTGATGGTTTGAACTATTCAGCGTGATCATTTTGCTCTGGTTCACCTCCATTGTTCACGTGAATATTAGTAGCGCCTAGCTCTGATACCAATTGTTGGAAAAATGGCGCAACGGAATAAATTAATTCATGTTATCAAAACACGTGAACAATAACAAAGAACGGTGAAACAGGCGGCTTAGCCGACCAATATTAACGATTAGTGAAAAAGGCGGCTTAGCCGACCAAGCAAAATAAAATGGGCGGTTCAACCTGCCACTTAAGAAATATAAATAAAATGGGCGGTTCAACCAGCCACTTAAGCAGGAAAATAAACAAGCAAAATAACACCAAATTTTACGTGGAAAAACCCCCAAAAA